CAGGGCCCTACGAGATGAGATGTGACCCAGCCTACGTCTTCCCTGTCTCCTCCTTACTCTGCTCCAGCCACACTGTCCTGTCTGCTCTTCTTCAAGCATCACCAGCTCCTGACCTCAGAGCTTCTGCACTTGCCTGAAATTCTCTTTCCCAAACCCTCCCATGTCTGGCTCCTCCTTCAGCTCTCAGCTCAAATGTCACCCCTTCAAAGAGACTTTCCTTAATCATCCTTATTTGGGTAGAAATATTTCCAACTCTCCATTCTTTTATTGTTCTATTGTTGTAGTGCTTTTCATTATCCGAAATTAGCTTATTTATTAATTAGTTGACCCATTTAGTATGTGTCTCTCTAATATTTACTGAGCTCCTACTCTGTCCCATCACATGAATGGCTGTAATCGCCAACACCAGGAGCCTTCCTGTGCCTGCTAAGTATTTGTTGAGAGAATGTGAACATAGTCCAGACACTGGTCAGAAGTAAGACGTCAGATGTAATTGGAGAATGAAAAGCACGTAATGAAGGATTCAGTCTAGCTTAGAGGTCAGGACACTTGTGCAAAATAAAACCTGAAGGATTAAATGCAAGTGTTTAGATGCGAAATGATTTAGATGCAAGAACAGAAAACACTCTAGTTGGTTTAAACAGGAAGAAATATACTACAGAGTGTTACGTGTTATAAATAATCAGAAGACCTAAAAAAAAAAAAAACAGGTTTAATATTGAGCTTTCAGGAGCAATTCCTAAAGTCACATCATGGAAGAGGGCTACCAAGGAAGCTGCCCCTCACTCCAGACCTTCATCAGCCTTGCTGAAGCCACCAGGAACAGGGAACCCTGGCTGCCACCACTGCAGAGCCACACCCTGTCACAATCAAGGGCACCACCAGCAGATGCACTGCTGGTCCTGCCACTTACCCATCTGAACCTGATGCCCACACACTGGAAATGGCCACAGAAAAAAACAAATATTGTCTGCAGAAATTCATTTCCACATTTCAAAGTTCACGTAAGTATCTCCAATTGGCTGAACCTAAGTCACACCCAGAACTCTAGCTCTAACTGAAAGGGAGTCTGAGAAATGTGTTTTCAGGCTTGTAACCCTGCAGCAGGGTAGGCCCAGAGAAGAGGGGTGAATGGATATTGAATGGAAGTCCACTGTATACATCACCATGTACATACATGTGTGTGCTCTCGTACATGCATGTGCATCCACGGATATGCATGTGTTGTGTACATATTTGCATGTTTGTGCATTGTGCTCATGGGTCACATGTGCATGCATGTGCATGCTGTGTGTGTGCAGATGTGTGATGAGAGGGGCAGTTGGGGGACTAATGGGTCATCAAGACCAGAGAGAAGGAGGCATTATCAAGAAGACCATCACAGATACTTCCTCTATGAGGACCTAGGACCCAGAGCTCAGAGGGCCATTCAGCCAAGATGGGAAAACAGATTTTAACTGTCTGACAATCTAGTCCTACCCCCTTATTTTACTAATAGGAAAAGCAAGGCTAGAGGAATTATGACTTCACCCGAAGTCACACTGCAAGTCATGGCATTGGCCTAAAACAAATCAGGTTCCCTGGGGGTAAGGTCCATGTTTTTCACTTGATATGTGACCAAGTTCCAGGGGAGGGTTTTACATGAGGGATCCTCCCACACTGGGCACCCAGCCCTGAGGACTCCCGCAGCACAGCCCTCGCTCGCTCAGCAGGATTAGTCTCTGGTCTTTCGGGGGCTTGCTCCCATGTACTTCAATAATGGCAAACATTTACAGACACCTGCTCTGTTCCAGGCAGTGTGGCAAGTGGGCGGTAGATGAGCACACAGGTCATGATTCCTTCCTGCCAGCAATCACTAGTCTGGGGTGAAGAGGGGGTCAGGAAAATAATCTCAACTGTCAAGAGGACAACAGGAGGGAGCAGGCACTGAGGGGACATCCTAACTGTCGTCAATAAGGAAATTAAGACTCAGAGACAATCCCTGACCTGGCCAAGTCCATAAGTGGTTGAACTCAGAATTTGAACCCATTATATTTGAATCCAAACCCATGCTTTTAGAATATAAGAGGCAGAATAGCAGAGACTGTGGACTTAGGTGTCACCCAGACCTGTGTCCAAATCCGAGGCTCAGCCCCTTACTAGCTGTGTGCCTTGGGCGAGTTATCAGCCTCTCCTTGCCTTGGTGTTCTCATACATGAAATGAGGCCATTCTTCCTCATGGAAAATGTGAGAGGGTTAAATGAGATAATGCATGGAAAAAGGTTGAGCCAGTGCCGGCAAATAAAAAATCCTCAATAAGTGTTAGTTTTGTTTACCCTAAGTCCTCAACCCACCAGCCCCAGACTGCTCAGGGTATAAATGTGAGCAGAGGCAAGGCAGCTCCTCTGGGATCTTCCAACATGCAGATGTCACTTATCTTTTCCAGGTTGACCTTGTATATAGCAAAGAATTTAAGTTATTGGGGGACGGGATATGGAAGATATTGGTCAAAGGGTACAAACTTCCTGTTGTAAGATTGACAAGTTTGAAAACCTAATGTACAGCATGGTGATTATAGCTAATAATACTGTACCAAATATTTGAATGCTGCTAAGAGAGTAGATCTTAAATGTTCTCACCACCATCTCACCACCTGGAAAAAAAAGGTAACTATGTGATGGGATAGAGGTAGTAGCTAAACTAAGGTGGTAATCGTTTTGCAATTTATAAATGTATCAAATCAACACATTGTAAACCTGAAACTTACACAATATTATGTGTCCATTATATCTCAATAAAGCTGGAAAAAATAGAATTTGATCTTGCCGTAAAGGGGTCTGATTGTTGCCCTCAGCTCCTGGCAAGTAATCTTTGTTTGCCTGGAGGTCTTGTACTAGCCAGATGGTAATAATGTGATTTAGAGTGGAGGCTGGCCACACCAAAAAGACCAACCACATGATTTAAGGTGGGGGCTTTGGGTCACATGGTATCAGTTGACCTGGAGACTGAGAGCAATCGAGCAATCAATTATGCCTACGTAATGGAAGCCAAATCAAAATTCTGAACACCGAGACTCAGGTGAACTGCTCTGGTTGGTGGTGCTCCATGCACGTTGCAGCTGATGGCTGCAGGGAAAGGAACGCATCCTGACTTCACCGAGAGAGAACAATGGAAGCTCAGCATCTGAAGCTTCCCGTCTCCACTCTATGCACATCTTCCCTTGGCTGATTCTAATCTTTGTCCTTTCTCTGTAATAAACCGTAACCCTGAGTATAATAGCTCTCCGTGAGTTCCGTGAGTTCTTCTAGTAAGTGATCAAATGTAAGGGTGGTTTTGGAAACCCCTGAGCTTGCAGTTTGTGTCAGAAGTGATGTTGGTCTTATGGGCTGCATTCCCTGTAAACTATATAGTTGGCTAAACTCTTGCACCCTGGCACATTGCACAAATGAGTATGTGAGTGGGCTGTCCAGAACAGCTCAAAGTTAAACAAGCCCTACCCCAAACCCTGTGGGTTAAGGACTCTTATCATCCCTTCACAGGTGAGAAAGCCAAGGCACAGAGAGGTGAGGCAAGTGAAGGGGCCAGGGTGGGAACCAGGCCTGCAAGACTCCAGACTCAGGATCTGATTACCACAGGGTACTGCCTCTCCCAAGGGCCCTTCCACCCTCACAAGCCAGAACATCACCACCAGCCGGGGACCCCGTGGGAAACAGAACAGAGAAAGGTTGGGGCAGACGAAACCCGCAGCCCCTGAGGCTTTTCAGAGGAAGGTGGGCAGGTCTCAGGCCTCCCTAGTGCCCTGACCACAGCCTACCTGACCCTGCGACAGGACTGCAAACTCAGATGCCTTCATGGTGAGTCACTTAAATGAAGAAGCAGTAGGTGGACATTGAAAAAGAGCAGTGGGAACTAGGGCGGATGGAGAATGTGCTCCATAGCAAGACACCACAATCTTTGTTGAGGTTCTTCTTGTTTTAAACGCAGTGAGGGCCATACCAGACAGGACTTTGGGTCTCTGGCCTGCAACCGCTAAACTTCATAGCCTGGAGCTTTCCGCCTCTGCCACTTTATCCCACACCATGATGTTTCAACTCCTCAGCTCCTGGATGCTCCTGTCCTCTCAATGCCATGCCGCTCCCTGCCGCAGCCACTCTCCCCATGCTCTTCATCCCACCTGGCTCTCACCTGTTCTGCAGGTCTCAGCTTTGAAGCCATTCCTCGGAATTTTTCTCTGACCCTGCATATTCAGCATAGAAACTCAGGCCTTTTGACCCAAGCCCTGGGATCCTCTCCCTCCTACTCTGCTATAAACTCTCCACTCCCTGGGCTTTCCTGTGGCTGCTCCAGAATCAACCAATATTCATTCAGATGGTTAGTCAGTCACTCAACTAACCAGACTGAGAACCTTCTCTTTATCAGGCTTTGTTCTAGGCACCGGAGAAACTATAAACAATAAAGGCAGGTTCTCACCCTCATTGACCTTAGGGGGAGTCAGACAATACAGTGATAATCACACAAATGGATACAGTAATCACACACAGTAATAGAGGCTATGCAGGGGAATAGTGTGCTAAGAGAAATGGGGGTGCTTATTTAGACTGGTGGTCAGGGAAGACTGGGGAATCAGGAGCTTCATCTTTCTTTTCTCTTATAAGTTTCCTTCTCTGTGTAGGTTTTCAATCCATGGTTGGGAATCTGCATATGTAGAGGGCTCACTTAAGTTATGCACAGATTTTCAACTGGACTAACTGGCTTGCCACAAGGATGAAAGCTCCTTGCTCCAGGCTGGGTACACAAGAACCATTCGAGAACCATTGGCTCTTGCTACCATTTTTCTCCCCACCTCCTGCCACCTGTCATTCACACCCACCTCCAGAAGACAAAGCCCAGGCCCCTCTGTCTGGCCTTGGAGGCCCCTCCTGGTCTGGCCCCTCAGCCCTGACATTCCGTTCCCAACCCTCACACTGACCCCAGATGGGATGGGGGCTGCACCGAGGGTGAGGGGACAGAGAACACGGGAGGCAGATGCTCTGGCTTCTTTATTGGACAAAGTCTTAGAGATTCCGTAAGGCACGAAGTCCAGGAAGGGGACAGGGTGCCCAGGGCACGTGGTCAGGAATACAGTGCCTCAGTGCTGGGTACCCCATCATGGTGAGTGCTCTTGCTCTTTGAGCAGCTCTGAGTATTTCTCTCTTTCAGGACCCTGTCCTGAGGAGCCTGGGAACAAGAGGCCCTTTTCCCCCAAGCAGGTGAGTATGGGCGACCAGGGACAAGGGGAATGAAGAGGAAGCCCCGTGGTCCGGGGCAGTGGAGGGAGGGGCTCAGGCATGGGCCCGATGCTCCTCATCCATGAAGGCACTAAGAATAAGGCGCCCAGCTCAGGGACAAGTGCTGGAGACAGGGCAGGGGCTCAGCTTGGCTGACTGTCTCTGAGCCCCGAGGCACCAGGTGGACAGGCCGCAGGGCATTGCCTCAGTTGAAGTCACGGTTGGGCAGGAGGAGGGGGGCTACCAGGGTCCACAGGTAGAGGAGCAGCCCCACCCAGCTAGCACAGATCTTCACCCACACGGCGGTCCAGGTGCTGATCATCTTCTGGGTCTCGCTGGGTCTGGAAGACACCATCACCCAGTCAGCCTGCCCCCAGTCTTGTGACCTCAGTCCTGGCCCTGACCTTATGATCCAGGTGTGACGCTGACTTCAATTTTGCCTCTTATTCTGTAACACTGGTCCCCATCTTTCATATTTTTGACACTTGGCCTTAAGACCCTAGACTTGGACCACAGACCTCACCTTGACCTCATTTACAACCTTAACTTCAGTCCTAGACTGAAATATTGTGACCTGACTTATAGTCCCTGGCTTTAGAAGCCTGGAATTCCAGACCTTAGTTCTGACTTCTAACCTTAATCCTAACCCTCAATCCTTAACCCCATCCCTCACCTCTGATCTCATAATCACAGTTTTGATATCTCTTGACCCTGTGACCCCAGGACTGGCCCCTGACCTTGGTCCTCTGGTCTTAGCTCCTTGATCTGGCAACTTTAATCCTGGCTTTATGGCCTCCTAACCCCAATTTTAACCAAATGACCAAATTTATGAGTTTACATGGCCCCAGTCCCAACTCTTGACTTCATGACTCCTCTGCTTGACCCTGTGACTTTGATTCTGATCTCTACACCCTAATCCAAACATGAATCCCAGACCCAACCCCCTGATCCAAATCACACCTGATCTGTAAACCCGGTCTGTCCTGCACAGGCCCAGCCCCACCTCCTGCGGTCCCCACTTTTCAGGCACTTAAGAAAGGCACCGGATGCTTGGATCAGACTAAGGTACTGGCAGGGAAACTGCAGGGCAGATGGAGGGTCCTAGGTTGACACCTTCATGCCCAAGCCTTGAGCAGGCTCAGGAAAACCCCAATGAGGGGTCAGAGGAGAGGAGCTGTGTGGCACACACCCCCCAGGCACTGCGGGCTCTATCCGTGCCCCACCAGGATGCACGCACCTGTACCAGTTGGTGAGCGTCATCATGATGTGCAGGGAGGCAAGCACCAGGCAGAAGTGGAAGAAAGAGTAGCTGTAGGTGACGCCATCCTGCTCATTGTCAAAGGCCCGGCCCTCGGAGGCCACCGCCTGCTGCTGCTGCGTGGCCTCCAGTATGGGCGGGCACTCCTCTGTCCGCATCAAGCTGTTCACCTGCCGGTGGTTGGAGGAGCGCAGACTGCGGGGGATGGAGAAGGTGGCGGTCAGGATTATCACCTCTGGGGGTGGGCAGGAGGGCAGTGCCAGGGGGCCTCATGAGCCATGGCATTGGTCATGACAACAACAGGCACGATGGTCCCAGAGCCTTGAGGGCCACTGACCTGTTGGTTAAGTCCTAGGCCCAGGAGTTTACAAACTGCTTTGATACTCGACTCTACCCCAACTCCCTGTGTGAACATGGGCCAGATACTTAACCTTTCTGAGCCTCTGATTCCTTGTCCACATAATCAGGGACAATAGTACCTCCCTTACAGGGCTGGGCTGCTAGAAGGATTAAATGGAATAATGATGTAAAGCCCCTAGCACTGTGCCTAGCATCGAGTATAAATTATTAAATGGTTATTATTACTCTGGTTGTTCGTTTGTCATTTCCATTAACATGAATAGAGTACCTAGTACTGCAAAGGCCCATAGCAGTACTACGTTCATCAATAATGTTAATAATTAATAATGGTCATTTGCTATTAAGTTTGTTTTCCTTTTATTAGTTTTAGGTAAGTAGTTTTATCAATCACCATCCCTTTATTCATCTTTATAATTTAAAGAATAATAGCACTGATTTTTTTGGTCATTGCTTCTCTATAATGAGATCTTGATGTTTTTAACAGTATTTAATAATTTGAGACATATATACAATTTTGAAAATCCAACTTGTATTTTGAAAAAAAAAAGGTGTAAGGAGACCTGGATTCTAGCCCTACTCCATCAAATTGAGGTCACCCATTGCTGAGCAGCAGCTGGCACCAATCACCAAAAACTTGTGATATATAGCGCACACGAGCCCACATCTGGGAGATCTAGCTGGGGTGAAAGCCATCATCAATGGTCCCTGCCCTCCTGGCTGCTTATCTTTCTTTGCTTCCTGTGTCTTAAGAGCTGTGCTAAGAACACAGGAGCTCTCAGAGGTGCTGCCCAGTGACCTCGTGACCTCGGGCCAGGGAGGTGTGAGTCTGAGAAGCATCAGGAAGCACAGCTTTGTGCCTGGGTGGAATGGGGAGGGATAGAGAACTGGGGTCAGGGAAAGCGCGCTCAAAGCTCTACGGCCACTGTGTGCTCCTGGCCTCAGAGAAGTGGCTGCTCCTCATGGAGCCTCAGTTTCCTCATCTGTAAAACAGAGGTGATGTGGGCCTTTCCAGATTGGAAAAGAGTCACATGAGGTGACAAAGAAGAGAGATGTTGTGAACTGCCCAGACTTGACTTTTGAGAAAATATTTTGAAAAAGGCCAAAACAGAACAAAATGTGAAACAGCCTCAGCATGGTCTAGCCCTGGGGCCTGGCGTCAGGTGTGGTGCTCCTGGGGGAGAAGGGCAAAGAAAACTGCGCCTGGAGAAATGCAGGGCCACAATCAGGTGTGGTGCTCCTGGGGGAGAAGGGCAGACAAAGAAAACTGCGCCTGGAGAAATGCAGGGCCACAGGGAGGCAATAACGAGTCTGCCAGATTTAGTGTGAACAAAATTATATGCAAGATTATCATCTACTGATGCTTATAAAACAGCCACTCACAGCCACTCAGCTCTGCAAATGTTCACACTTATTTGGCACCTACTATTTGCTAAGTTCTCTTCTAAGTGCCTTATACATATTAACTCATCGATAACCCTTCAACAATCCAATGAGGTAGGTACTATTTTTATCCCTATTTTATAGATAAAGAAACTGAGGCACAGAACAGTTAAGTGACTTGCCCAAGATCACACTGCTAGTAAGTGGCAGTGCCGGGTTCAAATGCAAGCAGTCTGGCTCCAGAATCCACACTGATAAGTACTTGCTAACATGCCCCTTTAAAAAAAGTTGTCACGTGATCTTAAGTATGAGCTGCTCTCTCTCAGGTGAGACTCAGGGGTCATAGCCACACTGGGCCTTGGAGGTTACTAAGGAGGAAGCTGAAGCTCAAAAAGGTGAAGCCACTTATCCCAAGGCCACACAGTAAGGAAGTGGCAGAGCCTGGACCCACTGGCCCTAGTGCAGGCTCCTTCCCTGACCCCACGATTGCCTGCCCCCAAATGAGCTGGGCACATGGCTGCCCAGTGTGCAGAAAAGGGCCCTGGACCCAGAGGCAGGGTCAAGCCCTGCCTTGGCCACCCAGTCACACTGTGCCCTCTAAGGGACTCGGTTTCTCCGCCATCACAATGCAAGAGTTACACATGCTGCTTCCAGCCTTGTGTCTCAGCTCCCACAGCTTCCCCCTACTTCCGGTTCTGGGTCCCCAATCATGATCCCTCCCCAGAAACCAAACCCCAGCCATACCTGATGAAAAATGTGCACAGGATGAAGATGATGAGACCCACGATGCTTGGCGCATCCCACCACTGGGTCGCGTAGCCCTCGGCGCCTGTCTGGACTGTCCCATTGCCAAAGTAGGGCAGGTGGGGGTTGCATTTCTGGTCTAAGGATAGGAGTGTGGTCACCCTTAGCCCATCCAGGCCAGGTCTGAGTAGCCATGTAGCCCTGAGCATGGGCAGAGAGCCAACCCAAATGGACAGACACACAACCCACCACCCAAGTACCAATGACAGACAGCACTTAGCAGATGCAATGACACAGACAGCTCCAGGAACACATGGGGTCTTCCCACTTCCCTGAAGGACTGAGTGTCAGAATGGGCTGGGGCTTGGATGTCACTATCACCTGTGAGGGTTCCTAGCCCCACAGAAGGTTGTTGCTGGCCAAAGAACAGGCCAGGCCTCCTAGAACGCAGGGCTTTACTTACCAGGGACATTGGACAGGGCCGACCATGTGACAAACATGGTGTAGAGCGTGATGGTCGAGGCCTGCAGCAGACCGGAGTTGGGCTGGGCATCCTGGCAGGAGCAGTCCGTCAGTATGACCCCTGCCAGACCTGGGGACACCCCACCCTCTCTCAGCCCACTTGCACCCAACCAGAGGACCTCAGAAACCCCACCGCCCTAGGGCCCTCCATCCCACACCTTTTGGAAAAATATGCCACCGGGGCCACCCAAAGGTAAGGTCCTAATTCTTTCTCCTAACAGAATACCCTTTTGGCTCCCCTGCTGAGAACACTTAAAGGGTGGCATCTCTTCACACTCTGAATTAAAGCCCTTTGTGGTTTGTCCCGCCTTCATTTGTACCTGACCACCCCCTCCACACTCCTCCTTGCTGACTACACCCCAGCCACAGTAGCCACCTCGCTGTCCTTGGAACAGGCTAAGCCCTCCCCGACCTCAGGGCCTTTGTATACACTGTGCCCTCTCCCTAACATGTTCATCGCCATATCTCTGCACAGGCAGCTCCTCTTTAGCATTCAGGCCTCAGCTCAAATAGGACCCCCAACAAGGCACCCAAAACCCCGACTATAGCAGCCCTGGCCCGGCCTACCTTTGAACCCACACATTCCTTAATTTCCCATACAACTCTCATCCAAAATCACCTTACTTGGCCTCGTCTCCTATTGGTTATTCTTCCTCACCCTTTACCACACACATATTTAAGAAGATGAATCTAAACTCTGTAACTAACAGCACAGGCTCTGGAGCCAGTCTGCCTGGGTTCAAATCCCAGCTCTACCCCTTACTCGCTGTGTGACCTTAGGCAAGTCTCTTCACTCTTCTAAGCCTTTGTTTCCTCATCTGTAAAGTGGGGATGATGATAGTGAAAGAACTAAATGACATGACGGATGCCATTCACTGTTAGCTATTATTACTATTATTATTCTTCCTCCTCTTCCTCACAGCTTCTTCCTCTTCCTCAGCATCTAGAAGAGTGCCTGGTACTCAAGAGGTATTTGCTGTGTGATCTGGGACAGAGGCATCATCCTCTCTGGGCTTCAATTTTCTCAGTGGGAAATGGAGGCTCTGACTAGAAGGGAGGTTCCCAAACTTTCTGCTAAAGACCCCCAAAGACTACCTAAGCTATGTTTGAAACCCCTGGTGGGCTGAGACCCCAAATTGGAAGTACCACTGGACGCAGAAGGCTTTCTCTCTGAAGAACAGTTACCTGGAAGCCCCTGTCCCTTATCCCAGATGGCCTTGGATTGGAAACTGTGGAATTATACCTTCCAACACCACTTCCAGAGGTGTCTATTAATTGTCAGTGACCCTCCCTAATATTCTTCCGATTTACATAAAAACAACAATGACAACAATAATAAAGATAACAACAGCCAATATCTGATGGATACCTCTATGCCAGGCACTATTCTAAGTGTTCACAATATGATCTCAGTCCTGAGAATAACTCCCAATAGTAAGTATTATTAACCCCATTTTACATTTGAGATGAGAGAGGCACAGAGAGATTAAGGCACTTTCTCAAAGATACCTAGCATGTAGATATGAGAGCGAAGGCTCTAACCCAGGGAAGCTGACTTGGGAGCCCACACTCTTAGCCCAAGCCTCTGTGACTGACAGCTCTGCCCCGGATGCCAAGATTCCCACAAGACGTTCCACACTCCAAGGGGCCTGGTTTCAGGCCAGGCAGAGACTGGCAGGCTCACCTGGATCTTGGGCAGGACAGCGATGATGGAGATGCAGACACAGAGAGTGAGGTTGAGGCCAATGAAGGCCTTGCCTTCATAGCAGGCGTTGGGCTGGGTGTAGTAGATGAAGAGCAGGGTCACGGCCGCGATGGACAGTGAGTAGAAAAGGAGGGTGAAGAAGAAGAGGCCTGGGCAGGAGGGCAGTGAGCAGGGGAGTCAGGAGGTGCAGGGATCAGGAAGTCCCCCCACTCCCACGAGAGGGCTCGTCGGACAGTCCTCCCTGTCTTGGGCCTCAGCTTCCTCATCCAGGGAATGACATCAGTGTCCTAAACTTCCATCATTCGCCTACACCTTTTTGAGTTTTTGCCGGATCCTGAACTAAAATGGTTCACTTGTCATAAATAAAGTAACCATAAAAATAAATACAATGAATACAGAACAGTTATTTGAAAAGTGAACTAGATGTACGGTGATTTGCTGGCGCCCTGCTCTCTCTGTCGGAGAGACCAGTGAATCTAGAGAGGTGTGAAAACCAAACCAGCACCTCAGTGAGCCTTTCTTCTAATTGCGTCAGAAGAACAGAGAAAAAATTGAATAGAAATCCGCTCTGCCGCTGGGGTTTCGATGACGAAGTATCATTTGAAGTTTGGCCTGGGTTGGTTATCTGTGGCCCATTCTGCAGGATGCGCTGAACTAGACCCCTCCCAGGCCTCTCCAGTTCTGCTCTCCTCTGATTCCCTGGAGTCAGACGCCTCTGCCAACACACACCCACTTCCCTACATCTGCCTTGGATGGTTCAATTCCTGCACTAAGGCAGGGGGCTGCTTGAGATGCCCTCCAAGCTTTCAACCGGCTTCAGGGACCCGTCCTTTCTTCAGGTAGCCCCGGCCCCGGCACTGACCTGCATACCAGGTACGGGAGTTGCACTCCTCCGCCTTTCCCAGCCAACGCTGGTTCCAGGAGTGTGCAAAGTCGATGAACAGCACCAGCTGGATGAGGATGAAGAGGAAGGAGCCCACAACACCAAAGTAGAACCAGACTGGGTGGGGAGAGGGGAGTGAGGCAAGCAAGTCTGGCCACAGGGCAGCAGCCCGAGCTCCAGGGCCCATGACCCTGCCAGGCTCCCTTGGATTCCTAGGGCCAGCACAATCCTGTGGACTCCTTCGCACACACACATGTATTCATTCAACAGTCATTCCTTGCATGGGAGACACTGAGAAGAAGCAAAGTCCCTGCACTCAGAGAGCCCCTAGCATGCACAGAGACTCAGTGTGGCAGGGAATGGGTTGGGGGCGAGGCACCTTCCCCCTGCCCCCTCAGGTGCCATATGGCAATATGGCCAAGCACCAGAGTGCTGTCCCCAAGGTGGGAGCAAGGACTCAGCCAGTAGCCTGGAGTCTGTGGGCCAGAGCAAAGAGCAGCCCCCACCAGTGCTCCTCCCTCTGGAGACCCTACCCCCTCCTAGTAGCCCCCTCCCTCCCCACCAAGACTGCCTACTGTTGGTGAAGGAGCCGTCCGGGATGTAGAAGGCGCCCACGGTGATGCCCACGAAGACCAGGAACTTAAAGAACCAAAACCTATGTTGGGGGTAGGGGCGATAAGACAGATGGGAGAGCTGAATGGGGGGTAGAGGAACAGGCCAGATGCCCAGAACCCCACCCCCCAAAGATCAGCTACTGGGAGAGGTGAAGAGGGACTTTCTGATGGGTCGATGGGCACGGAAAGTCTGTCCTGGCCCTAGAAAAAGCTCCAAAGGGCAGAGGAAAGGGCCAAATAGGGGTAAGGGTAGTCACCTGGGTTCTAGCCCCAGCTGTGTCACTAAACTGTGGCCTTAGGCATGTTGTTGCCCTTTCTGAGCTTTATTTCCTCATCCGAGAAATGGGAATAACGAAACAGGCTGACCTCTGCGTTGTGCCCTTCTGGCTTCCCGGGGTAGGGTCTGGAGATGTTTGGAGACAGGCATGGGAGGGGGAAAACCCTGCAGGAGGATCCAGGTTGCAGGCGGGGCCCCTCCCTCACCCATTCTGGATCGCAGCCCTGGGGTCCTGGCTGCTACGCACACAGATCATGAGCAGGGTGAAGAGGAAGAAAAAGGCTGCCGTAGCAAAGCACATGCGGTAGACAGCACGGTGGCCGAGCAGGGAGCCACAGTCGATGTGGCTCTGCAGGACAACGGGGATCCCGGCCACATTCTCACACACCCAGGGCAGCTGTGGAGAGAGAGAGAGCAACTTAACAGCCCCACCCCACCTGGAAGCCTGGGCCTGATTCTGCCAAGGCCTGCCGGGAGGGAGGCTTTACCAATGGGGGCTGGGCCAGGACAGGAGCTGGAGCCTCCTGCCTCCATCTCCACTGCCATCCATCTCTGGGGCTGAAGTACTAGGACTGGGCCCCCTGCACCCTCCCCGAGACAGATGGTCCAGTTACATCTTGTTACTAACTGTTTATTTCCCTAGTATCATGCCCACAGCCTCAGGAATGCATGGTACCGTCTAAAGCAGGATTTCCCAAAGTGCTCTCCATCCACCACCTATACCAGAGTTCCCTGGGATTCATGAGGAAAACAGATTCTTAGGCCTCTCTCCTACAGAACTAGAGTCTCTGAGGCGGGGTCTGAGGCTGCATTTCCAGCACATTCCCCAGAGGATTCATACCTTCGCACACACTGAAATGTCACAACCACTGGCCTAAATGTCCCACTGGGTCTGTACCAGGCTATGAAACACTGAGATGAAGGGGAGAGTTAGGACCCCCAAACCGGGCTTTCCCATTAAAGAGAGGAAAGCTTGCCTGGGCCAGAGTGTTGGGGACAATAACAATTAATATGATTTTCCAAGGGGACCATAGCTTACAAGAAACAAGAATCCCCACGTGAGGCTTGAACCCTCCTTCTTACATGAAGAAACACACGCGAACACTCCTGCCCAACTCCTTGATCAGCTGGGACGCCAAGCCTCGGCCCCCAGCAGCTGAGCCTTCACCAGAGGCCAGGGCCCGCAGGCTGCTCCCTCTACCCCACCCCACTCCCACACTCACACCCTCGGGAAGGGATACTCACCTTGTAGAGCTGACTCTCTACTCCAGGACTCAGCATGATGATGGACACCAGCACCCCCAGGAAGAGGAAGACCGTGAAGATGAGGCGGCTGATGGTGGAGTTTTGGGTGGAGGGGCAGCAGCCACACAGGATGCAGGGGGCAGAGCCACAGAGGCAGGACGCCTGTGGGGAGGGCAGGGATGGCACCCTTACTCTCCGCCTCCTCTCCCCTTCCATGCCCAAGCACATAGCACCCACCACTTCCCCTTCGATGCCTCCAAATCTGCACCCAGCCCACCTATACCACACCAGACAAATGTGATCACAGTTAATTTTCAAGCTGAAGCGGGAGGAGGAGGAAACCAAGCCTCGATGAGGCTGGGTCACACAGGGTCACACAGCCAGCAAACAACAGTACCCAGATCAAACCTGGATTTGTCTCAGGTGTTACCATGGACTTGGAGAGAGAGAGAGCTGGGTCACAGTTTCTTAGGGAGAAGCAGAATAGTTTAAAAAAAAAAAAATCCAGAAGCCAACTCCATCACTGATTAGCTGTATGACCTTATATAATTCATTCAAGCTCTCTGAACCTCAGTTTCCTCTTCCATAAAACAGGAATCCTACTTCTCGCATAGCAGTGGTAAGAATGGAATAGAAGATTTAAACTATAACCTCCTCAGACTCCCTTTCCTCTTCCCTGCTCATTTTTCTCCGTAGGACTTATTATCATCTGATAAGATTTATATTTATTTACGTTTGTCTGCCTCCCATGTCTAGCATGTAAGCTCCCCCAGGGCAGGAATTTTTGTTTGTTTTGCTCACTGTGGTATTCCCAGATATTGGAACAGTGCCTGGCACATAGTAGGAGCTCAGTGACTATCTGCTGAGTGAATGTAAAGTGTTTGGGCACAGTTGAGACCTCAGGAAACACCAAGCACATGATAAATGCCTATTGAATGATGGAATGAAGAATTGTGAATGGCTGAGATTCCCTGCTCTGGGGATGGGCCGGTTTGGGACAACAGTGAGGGATAACAGTGGCACTCTAACCCTTCCCCTGTCCAGGCTCCTCTGCCCAAGCTCCTGTAAGTCCCTTCCCTCCCTGGGGTCGGCTGAAATCATCGCCACATCATTCATAGCTGGTGTCCCGAAATGAGCCTTACCCCTCAGGGAGGCAGGTCTTACAGCCCAGGCTTTGAGGAATTGGGCCCACACCCAGATATGTCTGGTAAACTGTTTATCTTTCCTGAAACAGCCTCAACTTCTCACCCAGGTATTTAAGAGTCTGGAGAGCAAGAAAGACAGACACAAGTCCCACCTCGTCGAGCTTCCAAGGGCAGCGACAGACACTCAACAAATCATTACGCCCGTCACGGTAAATGCTAGGAAGAAAAAGTGCGTGCTGCCATGGGAGTGACTGACGGGGGCCTGGCTTCGACTGGGGGTGGCACACCGCTTTCTTGAAGGAGTGACATTGAAGCTGAGCACTGAGGAATGAGGATGCACTCTTCTGACCAAGACGGGAAAAAGTGTTCCAGACAGAGAGGAGGTTCTGGGGTGGGCAGAAGCTGGGCGTTAGAGGAATGGTTTAAAGGTCCTCATGGCCAAAGCTTTATGCCAGGCAGTGATCGGTAAACGGCAAGGTCGGCCATGCTGGCAGGGCCTGACAGTTACGTGTAGGACAGTTACGTGTTCATCCTAATAGCAAGGGGCATCCACTCAGGGGTTTGAAGCCAGGAGGGACCAAAACAGCCTCATGCTGCATGATCGGCTTTGTGGAGAACAGGCTGAAAGGGTCCCTTGCTCTTCTGAGACCCCGCACCCCTCTGGATTCGTCACAAGGCACACAGCACATTCTGCTTGAGGTGTAGCTGCCTTCCCATCCCACCCCCTCACTTCTCTTCCAGACTAGAAGTACCCCTAGAAATGTTCCTTCTCTCTCACTCACAAAACCAAGGACATGGATACTAAATGAAATGCTTGCAGAATGAAATTCTCCCTCATGGTCCAAAGCATAAGAGTCCACCCGTCTAGCAACTTGTGGTTGCATCTTGTAGGCCCCACCCCAAGACCTGACTCCTATCCATGACAACCTTTTGGGGGTGAGCAGATAGGTAAATGCCAAAAAAAAAGTGGTTTGTAAACAACACAGAGCATTCTGGTTATCAGACAGAGCAAGCTATTAGTCTCATTTTAAACATGAGGAAACCGAGATCAGAGAGGTTAAGAAACTTGCCAGAAGTTACACAGCAAGTAGACAGCCGTGCTGAGAATCAAATAATAATAGTGATAGCTTCCCTTGATGAAGAGTCACTCAGTCCCAGGCACTGTGATAAGCACCTTATCCACATTAAGCCTCACTGACACTATGAAGTAAGTGTGTTGTAACTTCCCATTTACAAATGGGGAAACAGACTCAGAGAGGCGACATGACCGAGGTGCCACAGCAAATCAGCTGAGGAGCTGGGATTCAGCTCAGGTCTGTGTGCTCCATGTGCCAGCTAACTCATTGATGGCAGCCTGGTTTAATTTCAAAACACACCGTTGATGAAAACAATGCCTCCGATTCCAGAGAAAACCAAGGAATACCAACAGACACTGACCTCAGGAACCATATGCCCAGTGCCCAGGGCAGGACCCAGCTCTGACCTGTTACTGTTTCAATTTGAGACGCAAGAAAAGAGTCTCGCTGCAGTCAGGGAACCTGGCTTTTCCATTCGCTTGGATTCTTGGAGATCAAAATCCGGGTGTTCCTGATACTTGAAACCTCAGGATTTCCAAGGGCCTGGCCCATAGCCAGAGACACCAGGTATGGGACAGAAAAACGTACACCAGCCCTCAGCTGATTCCAGAGCATCTCATCTTCAGGATCATTCACACTTTCTGACCCAGTCCCTCCACCTCTAGGAATCTCTCTCCTACAAGAACCTCCTCCTACAGAAGGACCAGCCTGTAGGAGAAAGGGCAGACATGTGTGCACACGTACACTCAGAAGTCCATCGTGGCACTGTTCATACCAGGAAAATAATAGAGGGGAAATGAAAATCAATGCCCGGCGATACGTCATAGCACTCCCTAAGAGAGAGCTCTCTGCTGAAGAGAGCAGACGTGGAGGTAACACTTAAAAGGTTACATGTAACTAATTATAATTAAATTATACCCCAATACAATTGATTTTACTATTTAAAAATAAACATTTTCAATTAATAAAAGAAATTAAAATAGGCACCAAACTTAGGTTTTATGAGCTTATTTAAATCTCAAGAGACTGCAAATGACCTAAATTCCCAGGGGCAGTGGTGGCCCATTTATTCCATGGATGTTATAGAGGCAAGAAAGAAGCAAGTTACTAGCTTATAGAGCAATATGAACTAATGCTTATGATGCAATGTGAAAGGCCAAGGCGGACTATAAAACTTCCTGCACTAAGATTACAACCCCCACCAAATGCACTCGGGGGGAAAGGCAGCAATAGAAAAGCACCGGAACAACGCTGAGAGTGGCTGAATCATAGCACCAGCCAGGTTCTCGGAATAGAGAACTCAGAATGCAGGAAGCCCTGGGTCTGAGAGTCTTTTCGTTGCAATATTTCCTTGGCAGTCAACCAGTCCAGCTCCTCTCTATGAGGAGTTACAGGAAGGCAGCCGGCCGCCCTCTGCTGCTTGTACACCACCAATGACAAGGAGCTCACTACCTCCCAAGGCAAGCTAGACAGCTCTGGAGATGTGCATGGTTTGGTGTGGAAGAAACACAGAATGGCCACAGAATGGAAGACAGATCAAGGGAGTGGAGTGCAGTATCTCTGGGAACAGGGGGAGAGAGTCAGGGGTTGTTTTCAGTAAACCAGAGAACTGACATCAAGGAAAAGTCAGATTCTCAAATTCTCACTGTGTGCTTAGCCGATAATACTTCCGACAATATTATTCTTTGAGACTGATATCATTAGGGTTGGATTGTTTTCTATCTATCTATCTATCTAACCATATTATATTTCTCTATCTATCTATTTATCTATCTAACCATATTATATTTCCTAAAATAAATTACAAGGTCCTTGAAGGCTAAAAAGAAGTTAACATAGTAAATTTTATGTTATATCTATTTTGCCACCATTAAACAAACAAAGAAAAAACTGGTCCCAGCAAGGATGAGAGGCACCTTGCAGACTTCATGAACAGCATCTCATGTGGCTAAGCCAGACTACAACTAGACAAAACACAGGAGAGAAGAGGTCAGCCCTAAACAACTCAAGCACACGTACTTCCTCCACGCAGTCTTGAAAACAGAGAGCCTATAGTCTTGGATCTATAGTCTTGATCTTAGACAAGTCTCTTTTCTTCTCTATGGGACACAGTTTCTTCACCCATCAAATGGGTTCCTGGGCAGGACAATAAAGTGGCTCAGAGCCCTGGCTCTACAGTCAGACAGCCCTGGGTTCCACTGGCTTCACCACTTCCTAGAATGTGGTCTAGAGCGATTTACTACTCTAGGGTGTTTATGGAGTGGCCGCTGCACGCCAGCTTCATGCTAAAGATGTTGGCATGCTCTTCTCAGTCTCATTTAATCTTTGCAACGTACTGAACAGCAGGTACCACTGTTCTCTCCACTTTACAGACAAGGAGAGAGGGGAAGGGACTGTCCACAGTCACACAGCTAAGAGGCCAAGCCAGGATCTGAGTCCAACCATTCTGACCCGAAGGCCTTTCACGCTCCCTCAAATGTTGAAGGCCCTCCCTGAATATCTGCTGATCATCCAGCTCATAATGTTGCTTGCCTGGTGATTCTCATTCCCTGTGGGTCCATCTTATTTCTCCCAGGAATCACCTTCAGCCCAGTGCTAATGCTTACAGAGAGAGCCACAATGGGCAGATGCAAATGTGTCACACTTGGAGAGGTACAGAACTCTTCCCCACCAACCCTAAGGATGCCTGGAAACCCCCTATAAGAACTTCACCCCTATGGGTCAAATCTCCATTGAAACAGGTTGTTATTGTTATCCAGTAGCATCCACTGTGCCACTTAATACTGTGTGGCTGTGGGGAAATCATCTTCCTTCTCTGATACAGTTTTCTCATCTGTGAAATGAGAATAATGTTAACTGTGTCATTGGGGTCATTGTGAGGCTTAAATGAAAGGACATATATAAAATGCTCACTACAGTGCTGGGCCTGTGCCACCACTGGACAGCTCTGAGCAGTG